ATCTATCATCTATCTAGCTATCATCTATCTGTCTGTCTCTGTCTGTCTGCCTATCTATCATCTATTTATCTGTCCTCTATCCATTGTCTATCCATCTATCCAACTATCTATCCATCCATCATCTATCAATCATCTAACAATCACCTATCTATCAAGCATCTAGCCATCATCTATCTATCTATCTCTCATCAAATGTCTACTGCCAGCCTTCTCACAAATGAGACTGAGCAGTGTAGAATAAGCAAGCAATTAAAAACAGACCTAAAACAACCATTAAAAACAATTCAGCCCTTAAAGACCCTTCATCACAAGTATGAAGTAAGGAGATACAACTATTTCTGAAGCTTTCCTGTTCTGCCATGGCTGGTTGTAATCACTGAGGAACAGCGGAGGAAACAAAATCTTCAGGCAGCTCCATGTGTTCCACTTAATTCATTAAAATATGTTGCTTGAGTCTTCAGTTAAAAAATTAGAAGGTCCTGAGCTGTTAAAGTCAGTGGGAACAACTTCCAATAAATAATGTCAGATAATAGCATACTTAACCCAGTTACTAACTTGTTTTCTGGCTTGGCACAAAACTTTAAACCAGGAGTGTCCAACCTTGGCAACTTTAAGACTTGTGGACTTCAACTCCCAGAATTCCCCAGCCAGTCAGCTGAGGAATTCTGGGAGTTGAAGTCCACCAATCTTAAAGTTGCCAAGGTTGGACATTCTTGGCAACCCAAACATGCCAGATATCTCACTATCCACCTAGCCACAAAAACAAACCAAAGCTAAAACTAACCAGATTTAGCCAATTGTGGGGATTCTGCTATTAACCTAGTTAAGCATAATGTGAACACAGTCACATGGATGAACGATGCCATGTGTACATAAGATCATATTTTTTCCAGCATGAGCCCGTTTATCACATCTTCCCATGCCAGAGGCAGGCCTGGTTCACACTGTCCACTAAACCATAACCTAACCTGGTTGGCTTCACCTCAGAGGGGCTGTGTGCATCAAGCCATGATCATTCACAAACCACATTTACGGCTTAGCTTTTTGGCTTGTTGAGAAAACTCAACCAACTCTTCTTCCTTCACAAAACTATGATTAACCAAACCAGGGGTTGCACATGCCGTGTGAATCCAACCACAGACTGGGCTTCTGAGAAATGACGCCTACACTCAACCCTACAAGCCTGGCGGCCTTTGCTTCCAAGAGGGCTAAACTGAACTAAACAAACCAGGATGGCAACATCACATGTTGGGCCCCAGCCAAACAACCAGAGAAAACTAAATAAAATAAACCTCGTTGACAATACTGTAAAAATTTATTTGTTGTTTTTTTTTTTCAATTGATGGATATGATCACACACCTCACCAGTGTGACTTTGGGCAGCTAACAACATTTTGGGGGGGTCCTTGGTGTTCTCTGAGCTTCTTGGTTTCCTTGCAGA